CGCGCGCGCGAAGGAGCGCGCGCGGGAGCCGGCGGAGGCGCGAACGGCGGCGGCGAAGGAGGCCGAGGCGAAGGCGGCGAGGGAGAAGGTGCGAGAAGAGCGCGCGCGCGCGGCGGAGGTTCGCGCGGCGGAGGTTCGCGCGGCGAAGCCCATGTTTCGACGACGCGCGGCGGAGCGCGGAGACGCGAACGCCACGGGGTGGAAACCGGTGAAGAATGAGGCGGCGGAACAGCTTCGAAGCGTCGTCGAAGCGCGTCGCATCGAGCGGCGCGATCGCATCGTTGAACTCACGCGATTGAAGAGGGAGCAGGCGCGCGCGGCCGAGGCTGAAATGCAACTTCGCGCCGCCGTCGAGCGCGAGAGACGCGCCGAGGCGGCGGCGGAGAAGCTCGCGAAGGAGCTCGCCAGGGAGCGGGCGAAAGAGGCCGAACGCGCGGAGCGGCGGGCGCGAGAGGAAGCGCAGGAACGCGCCCGACAAGCGGAGAGTGATAGACTCGCGGAGGAGCAAGACGCGATGGAACGCGCGCGCAGACTCGCCGAGGAACGGGAACACGCGGAGAAGCTCGCGCGCGCGCGCGCGGCGGAACGGGCGAAGAAGGAAGCCGCCGACAAGACTGCACAGGAGACGCGGGCAGCTGAGGCCGAAGCGGCCAAGGCGAAGAAGGCGCGCGACGCCGAGACGGCGAAGGCCAAGGCTGATAAGGAAGCCGCGGCAGCGCGCGCCAGAATGACAAAGCAAGCGGAGGATCTGAGGCGAAAGGAGGCAGAGGCTCAGGCGCGAGCGCAACGCATTGAAAACGTCAAGTATCGCGTCGCCGATGCGCTCGACAGGACTGTCGACGCCGTCGTCGATCGCGCGTACGACGCTCGCGATTTCGTCCGTGGTATTCCGGCCAAAATCAAGTTACCGGCGAAGAAGGAAAATAAGAAAATGGTCGCCGCCCAGCGAAAGCCGCAGCCAAAGCCTTCGCCCGAGCGCAAGCCCGAGCGCAAGCCCGAAGCGAAGAAACTCGCTCCGCCGACCAAGCTCCAGACAAAGCAGAAAACCTCATCTTCTTGGTCGTTTTCGATGCCAACGATCCCGAAGTCGTCCACTGGTGCGATCGACGTCGGAACGTACGCAACGCTGGGCTTCGCCACGTCCCTCCTCGCCGCAGCCATGTTGTCCGTCGGCGTGCGCGCGTCCCGCAAAAAGCGCGCGCGCCGTCGCGCCGAGCGCCAAGCCAGGCTCGAAGCCGACAAGCTCCGCCAGAAAGATCGCTGGGCCACCGCCATCGACACCGATACCGTCACCCGTGACGTTGCCGAGCGCGCCGAGCGCATCGCCACAGCCGAGGCGACGTCCGGCGCGTCCGAGGACGCCCCCGACGCCGAGCGCGCCGAGCTTCAAAAGGCGTACGATGAGTTCCTACGCGCCACCTCGGCGGATAAGAAATTGTAATCCAAGTCACGCACCCTCGTGTTCACGAAAACCCTCGTCGTCATCCCATCCGGAGACGTTCACGCGTGGACTACCGCGCGTTCGGCTCGACGTCGCTCGGCGTCCGCTCCGGCTCGGCGCGGACGCCGACGCGCGCATCTTGTTCTCCGCGCGATCTTCGCGCCGCACACACCGGCGCCCGCGCTTCCTTCGCGCGCGCGCTCGAATCGCCGCCTCGAGACGAACACCGACGATCGTCGATCATCGCGTCGACCGAACCGATCGAACCGATCGAACGGACGCGCGCGCGACGACGCGTCGATCGTTCGAACAGGACGTCATCGGGGAATAATCTGCACGAAATCAACGCTCGCGTGGTCGTTTCTTCGTCTCACGCGCCGTCGTGCGAGTGATTGCGTGATAAAAAGCGCATTTGACATCGTGAGCCGACCGCACAATCGTGGAGGCGTCATGCGGGCGTTCGGTGACGTCGCGCGGGAGTTCCGGTCGTACCACGACAACTCGTTCAACGTCGCCGCGCACCTGGTGACGACGCCGGTGTGCCTCGCCACCGCGCTGGCGATCGTGGAGACGACGTATGGGACGTCCAGCGCTCGGGTGGCGACGTGGACGTACGCGCTGGCGACGGTGGTGTTTGTTGACTGCGGCGTCGGCTTGAAGGCGTGGACGACGGCTTGGATTTGGGCGATCGCGTACGCGGCGAGAACCGCGGTCGAGACCGGGGCCACGACGGTGGGGTTAGTCGGTACCTTTGTCGCGGCATACGTTGGACAGGAGTTGGCGCATCACGCCACGGGGCAAAAGACGTATCAAGGGTCTTACATGGGTCAGTCCAACTGGATCGGGTTGCTTCTCGAGCACACGTTTTATCTCCTCCCGCTCTGCCTGGACGCGGTGTTTCACATGCGCGAGAGCTTTTTAACTTGGATCGTGGCGCACAACTACGTCGTTCGAGGAAAGCTCACTAGCTCGAAGGATCGAGCCGCGATGAAGACGATCGAGGATTTCGTCACCAAGGAAGATCCTGACCGATCGTGCACGGCGCACTGGTGGCACACTCGGCTCGCGGACAAGGAAAAGAAGGCGTTCACGCACATCGTGCACTCCGAGCCTGTGGAGAAGATGTTTGCCGAACGATTCCGCCCGGACGCATGGGTCGTGAGGCCCGTGTACGGTATGAATGAGATCTACGTCGCCTCGTCTCACCACAATAACAATTCAGACACGGTGTTTTACATGGAGCATATCGACGGTCCGTGGGCCGTGTATCCTTTTTGCTTCCTTTACCGGTGCATGCTCGCTGTGAACGAGAACGTCAAGGTGCAGACCATTTTTTCACACGAAGGAAGTGGCGGATGCTTATCCAACGGCGACGTTGTCGGTTTCGATTTTCACCGTGAGATCCACTACATCGCGGACAAGCCAGTGACAAATCCCGACCGACGCATCACGATGAAGCTGCATTACTGCGTGTACCCGAAGTGCTTCGGTCCGTTCGGTGAAGGACTGCTGCATTTATCTGTGATGTACAATACACTGGCGCGTAAACTCTTCTTGAACACGATCCATCCGACGGGGATCTGGAGATTCATGGCTTTCATGGTACTCTTTGTTACGCGCGGCGCATTCCTCGTGTCCAAGTACGCTGGCATGAACAACATCGCCAGCGTCCTCGCGTTGTACGCCGTCGGCAAGTACATTCACCCGTTCTTCTTTTTTGCGATGACTTCATACACGCACTACTGCATGTACATCGCCACGTACCACGTGCGCGACCGAATCAACTTTGGCATGTTCAAGCGTAATGTGGTGTTCTGGAAGACGCTCGCCCTTACGCACTTGGCCGTCGCATATGTGAAAAACTTCCAATTCGACCCGATTTCGATCATCATGATTGTGTGCGGATACGGGCTCAGCACGTCGGCGGCCGTGGCTCTGGGAATGGACCAAACGTACTTTGGAGTCGAACTCGGTGAAGTTAAACCGAACTTTGTGAGCGGATTCCCGTACAACGTCGTGCCGCATCCAATGATCGTCGGCAGCATGCTCGGGCTTTTGGGCATTCACAAGATGGATGGTTTACGAGAGGCGCTTCCGTATGCCGTTCCGATGCACTGCTTCATGTACCTGCTGCACATGATACAAGAGCAAGTGAATGACATTTACTCGGATAGCTGGAGACCGCAATCGTCAAGCGCTCCCTCGAAGGGACGTTCGGCTCGGACTCCTGTTAGGAAGTCCTCGAGCAAGTCGCCGCGCGTGAGATCGGCGACGCCCAAGAAAACCTCCAGTCGGACGCCCAAGAAAAGTCCTAGTCGGACGCCCAAGAGGCGCCCCTCAAAGCGGTAGCGCGATATTATTATTACATTTCACTCTTTACGCCATGTCCGCGACGTCCGTGACGCCGTTTTCGTTCGATTTCGATTCAAAGTGTGCGACATTCGCAGCCGTGACAGACGGTAAGTGCCTCTTCCCTCGAATGCTCGCGTCCGATCTTCCACTTCGTACGCTCGTGTCATTCATTATTCTGCCTCGAACGCTCCAATCTCGTGGACGAGACGGCGGTGCTCTCCCCTTGTGACTCTCCACCTCTAACTTCATTTGAGCCAGCGCAAACGGATAAAAGAAGAAGCATGCGATGAAGTCATCCATAAGGTTACCCACGATGTGCCACTTTGCTCGCAAGTTATAACGGATCGCCGTCGTGAGCATCGCGAAGAGCAGATACATCAGCCACGCAAGACTGTGCGTTCCCTGCTTCAACGGAGTAAGACAGAGGAGTAGGATCCAAGCATAATAAATTGTCGTGCACGTAAATGAGAATACCGATATACCGAACGGCGTGAACAGCTCTAACGCGGAGATGAACATTGCGTGATACGGGTTGAGGATGATCCTTAATAGCAGAATCAATCGCTCCTTTGTCGACATAATCTTTCCGTCGGGAGACCCATCTGGTCCATTGAAATTATCAAATACGTCGATGATAGATGTGGAGAAGTTTTTTCGCATGCTCAGATACTTTGGATCACCGTTTGCCTCGTCCAAAGCGCGGAAAAGTGCGACGCACATCGCGTTCAAAGCGAACGTGTAAGGAAGGGCGGCGCAAATACTGACTGACGATATCGTCGATAGGCCCGTTTTGCTAGTGCTAAGTAACGCTTGGGCCGTCGCGCCTTGCGTGATGGACCACCACACTCTTTGCAAAACCGGTGCGTTGTCGATGCCACCAGCGGCAATCATATCATCCGTGAACGCACCCGCGTCAGCAGAAGTGACGAAGAAAGAGATCACTCCTATCAGAACCAACAACTGTAAAAGTTTTGTCAAATTCCCGTAAGGTTCCAAGATGTCTAAAATTCTGTCGGTCGATTTCCTGCACGCCAGCGCATAAATTCCGACGTCGTTGGCGAGCTTTATCGCCGCGTCGCTCGCCGGTTCGTTGTTTAGGTACCCCAGACCCGCGCAGTTCACCACACCCTTCCGCCAATCGGGTGCATACTTCAGGGATAACTCTGCGATGCGTTCCATGCGAATTCCAAGGGAGCCGAGAACCGATAGGGCAAAGAATCCAGATATCATCGGTACAAACATTCCAACGAGGATGATCTCTCTCACAGTGCGCCCGCGTGATATTCTGGCGATAAATAGGCCCACGAACGGAGCCCAAGTGATCCACCACGCCCAGTAGAAAACAGTCCAAGAGTTCATGAAGGAGGCTGGAGTGCTTTCGTAGTACGTCTGTGAATCAGCCATGGTCGTACCCAAGGCGATTTCAACGCGACCCTTGATGCCCGGGTTGCCCCAGAGGTGCGGATCTTTCTCTTGAAATTCGAGAGCGAGCTGAGGCAGTGCATCGTTGTCGAAACCGGCTTGAATAAAGTACTGCATGTACGTCCCAGTCGTCTGCGTGAAGATATTCGCAATGTACCACGTGTTGTCAAGCATGAATAGCAGCAAGATTAATGCGGACAAAACGCCAAAAGCCAATATCGCCATGGGTACCATACCACGATCGAGTCCGCTTACGACCGCCCCCGTCGTGAGCGCGGTGATGATCCAAATTATGAAAGATTTTACGCTCTCGTTATCATTCGGAATAGCGCTATTCATTCTGTGAATGGTGGCGTTGATACTGTTCGCCCCCAAACCGAGCGAGGTAGACAAACCAAACGTGGTGCATGCGATGGACATGGCGTCGATGATATCTCCGAACAGCCCGTTCACGTAATCGCCGAAGAGCGGATAAAACGCACTGCGTAGGGTGAGCGGTCTTCCCAAGCGATAGCACACCACGCCCGTGGTGAGGCCGACGACGAGATACGGGGCCCAACCGTGGAACCCCCAATGAAAGAACGTCAGAAACATAGCCATCGATGCTCGCTGGTCGTCATTCATGAACGGAATCTTCGCCAAGTAGTTCGAATTTGTGTTCAGCGCACCAGCATCGTCGCGGTAGTAGTACATCGGCTCGCTCACGCCGAAGTAAAATATCCCGGTTCCCAGACCAGTAGTGAAAATGAGTATGAACCACACGAGATCTGAGTACTCCGGAGCGTCGTCTTGTGTCCCCAGCCTCACGTTGGCGTACTTTTTCTTCAGCAACACGTAAAAAACCACGACCAGCCACGCGTTTTGCGTCAACGTGTAAAACCACGTAAAGTTGTGCGTGATTGCGCTCGTGGCGTTTGCAAAAAACGTCGAGACCGCCGATACCTGCCCCGCCCCCCTCACATTGGCCTCGCTCGTCGTCACCCCGATCACGAACCCCCACAGCGTGACCGTCGCCAGGAGGAACACCACCCAGTTCGCTCTGATTATCTGCGCGCGAAGCGTTCTCGCCGCGTCAGTTGAAAATTCATCATCCCCGCCCGCACCCCACGCGCGCGCCGCACCCGTACTCGTCTTCACCTCGACCGCGCGACGACGGTAACAAAACGCGCGCGCGCGATCGACCGCGTCGCCGCGCTCGAGAGACGCGCGCGCACCGGAAAAGCGGCGAAATCGAACGCAATCCAACGATTCGCCCGAACGAACCGTCCCGCCGCCACGTCCTCGTCGCGTCGCGCATCGCGCGCGCGGTCGCGCGCGACGCGTTCGCGCGACGGCTTCGACGCGCCCGGCATCGCCCGAGCGCGCGCGGGAGTGCCGACGTGGGCACGCATTCAATTCGCTCGACGACAATTCTCGACGCGCCGCGACGCCGCGCGCCCGCGCGCTTCGCTCGTTCGCCCGCGCGCGCTCGGTGGACGGGCGACACGCGCGGGGGCGTCGAATGGATCGAGCGAGCGATGCGCGCGCGGGCGCGAACGTCGCTCGCGCTCGCGATGGTGTACATCGCGCTCGTGGTGCGACATCTCGTGCGACGGTCGTGCGTCGCCGTCGCGTCGTGGGCGCGGTCGATCGCGCGTGGCGCGCGCGTGATGTCCTCGACGTCGCCCGTGGGCGCGTCGCGCGCGGGACCGGGGAGGGAAACGCGGACGCGCGCGGACGCGAAGCCGCGGACGGCGGCGTTCGTCCTCGCGCGGGACGGAATCGGTGAAGACGCGAGGGCGACGTGCGAGAGATTGGCCGAGATCGCGTCGTGGTGCGGTGCGGTTGGAATCGAGCGCGTGAGCGCGTATGAGTCGAGTGGACGCGTCGCGGATGGGCGAGGGAGAGACGCGATGCGGGACGCGTTGGAGCGGCGAGCGAGGCGAGACGGATTCGCGTACGTACTTCGAGCGTGCGATCGCGAGAACGGTGGGAAAATCGACGTCATCGCTCGGGGGGGGGGCGATGGGGGGTCGAGCGCGTGGACGATCGAGGTGGACGCGTTGCGGGCGGAGGACGCGTGCGCGGCGCTCGTCGCCGCGGCGACGCGCGCGGATGTAGAATCGGTCGACGACGAGCGCGATGAGGATCACGAAGGGCGCGCGTTCGAAAATAAACGACATGTCGGGAAGATTGAGCGATGGATGCGTGATCGAGGAAATTTCCTCACGCCCGCGGATGTCGTCGTCGTCTTCGGCGAAGTGTTCCATCTCGACGGCTATCCTCCGTGGCAGTTGTACGCGGCCGAAATGTTCCACGAGACCTCGCTGGAGGCGTTCACGCGCGAGAAATTCGCGCGCATCGTCGAAAAGTATCGAACCACGGCGCAGAGATTCGGGAGATGACGCGGGATTCGCCAAAAAAACACTGTGATTCACAATTTCTAGAACGGTACCCGACGCCGTCACTACTTCTTCCCTCGTCCCGCGCCGCCCTTCGGATCAAACTTCGGATCGAACCTCTTAAACATCGGCGCGTGCTTCAACATGTCCGGAATTATCATCATCCTCACCTTTGACCCTCGAATGTACACGTGCTCCATCCTACTCTCCTTGCCGTCTCGCCCGGTGTGCGTGACATCCGTCATCTGACAGTTCCAATTATCCTCGCTCTCCACGAGCTGCCCGCGATACGTCTCACCAGTCTTCAGCTCGACCTACATCATCGCCACGACATCGCGACGCGTCTTCCGTTAGTCTCCGCGCGCGCGCGCGTCGTCGCCGTCGCTCGAAATCAACCCTAGGCGCCGATCGCCCGCCGTCGCCCCGTTCCGCGTCCACGCGCCCGCGCCCGTCGCCGTCCCACCGTCCACCGCGTCCACGACGTGTACGCCGACGTCGCCGTCCGCGCGCGCGCGCGTCTCGTCCAACGCGTCCCCGTCGTGGTTCCGTTCCGTTCTCGCGCGCCCCGCGCGCGCAATCCATTCGCCCCGCGCGCCCTCCCGCGCGCTCGCGCTCGGTCGCTCGCACCGTCACCACGTGTCCCTCGCTCTCGTGTAAGAGCTTCACCGGGACCCCGACGCCCTTGCCCAGACCGGCGCTCATCGCGATGCGTCGCGCGTCGGAATGTCGAGCGTAGCGAACGCGACGCGACCCCACACGGCGCCGCGCATGGGTAGAAACAAGGCAAAGACGGGCAAAGACCGCGCGTACGTCACCGCGAGCGAGTGGGCGAACGAGGGGGGGGGGAAGCGGCGCGATGGAAGCGCGGCGGCGCCGTTTCGACGATTGCCGTTTGACCGGTGTGCGATTTCATTTTTGCCGTTTGAAAACGCGGTGTGCGCGCCGGATGGGAGCGTGTTCGACGTCTCGCGCGCGGTGCCGTACGTGATGAAACATAAACGACATCCCGTGAGCGGTGAAGCGCTGGAGGTGCGGGATTTGATCGCGCTGAGATGGTATAAGAATGCAGACGGCGCGTACGAGTGCCCGGTGATGAAGAAGACGTTTACGGATTCGACGCGGATTGTGTGCGTGCGAACGACCGGGAACGTGTACTGCGCGGAAGCGATTGAGGAGTTGTGCGTCAAGGCGAAGAATTGGAAAGATTTGTTGACGGAGGAACCGTTTAAGAGGTCAGACGTGATAACGCTGCAGGACCCGTTGGATTTGAAGTCGAGGACGTTGGAGGCGTTCGATCACGTCAAACGTGGGATCGAGACGAAGAATCTCGGTCGGGAGGTGGATGATTCGAACATAAATAGGAAGGGTCTGAGTGAGGACATGCGCAGGGTGCTCGACGCGCTCGGAAGCGAGGAGGCGGCGAAGATTGGAGAGCGAGGCGGAAGCAAAGACGCCGCCGCCGCTCGGGACGCGCTCGAGCTGGCAAAGAAGAAGGAGAAAGAGGATAACGCGAGGCGTGGAATAGAGAATAAACCAGACCCGACGGATAACAGTCACTTGCTTCGGGGACCGGCGTACGTCGCGCCGGTGGATAACATCACTTTCAAGCCCGGATCGTCGACGTGGGACACGTCGGCGGGATCCGGCGGCGCGACGTTGGATCTGCGCACGGAGAAGGAAAAGGCGAAGAGACGCGCCGAGATGGCGCCTTATCTCGTAACTCTGAAGACCAGGGTGAACGAGATGCGCACGACGGGTCACAGTGCGATGGGATTCACGTCTACCACGATGGAGGCGCACACGAAGAATCATCGCGCCGAGGAAATCGTGTGGTACAACCCGACGAAGAAGGGATACGTGCGCTTGCACACGAATCTCGGTGACTTGAACATCGAGTTACACTGCGACCGTGCGCATAGGACGTGCGAAAATTTCATCACGCTCGCGGAGAAGGGATATTACGACGGGTGCAAGTTTCATAGAAGTATTAAAAACTTCATGCTTCAGGGCGGCGATCCCACAGGCACCGGTCGCGGCGGTCACTGCATCTGGGGCGAGCGCTTCGATGACGAAATCAAGGGAAACCCTTTTACGCACGACGACCGCGGCGTGTTAAGCATGGCGAATAGTGGGAAGAACACCAACGGGTCCCAGTTTTTCATCACTTACAAGCCGTCGCCACACCTGAACGGTAAGCACACGGTTTTTGGCCGAGTCGTTGGCGGTTTGGAGACGTTGTCGAAATGTGAAGCGGTAGAGACGGACGCGTCCGATCGTCCGCTTAAAACGATTCGGATCGAACGCGTGACGGTGTTCACGAATCCGTACGAGGAGCTACGCGAGGAGGACGAGAAGCGTGAGCACGAAGAGGCTGAGGCTGAGGCAAAGGACGCCGAGCGCGCTAGCGGCACGGGAGTCGGTAAGCGTGGGAGTTGGTGGAGTGATCCAGCGTCGGCCATCGCCAGCAACACGAGCGCGCGTCCCTTAGCCGTCGGGAATGGCGTCGGTAAATTCATCCCCAAGCCCGCGAGCGCGCCAGTCGTCGCGCCGGCGGCGAAGAAGGCGAAACCTTTGAGAAGTGGATTCGGAAACTTCGACGCGTGGTGAGATTGTATCATTATCCATTCTTACAACAAGCGGGATCCCGCGCTTATTCGTCTATGGAAATATAGTTACCGGCGCCAATTGCCTTTTGCCGACGCGTCCAGAGGACGTCGTCCAAGCTCTTTTCCGCGGTGATGAGGACTTCGCCTGTATCTTTCTCTTCGGCAACGGGGACGACAGCCGCGATTTTTTGATCGGGTGGTGCTTCGTACCCGACGGGATATTTCCCCGTTGCTCTGTACACCCATTCAGCGTACTCACGCTGTTTCTTCGTCTGGTTCGCTCGTTCTCGTTCTCGTTCTCGTTCTTGTTCTCGTTCTCGTTCTAGACGTGCGCGCTGCGTTCTCAACTCAGCCTCTTTCCTTTTCCTAGCTTCTTCTTCTCGTTTTTCCATCTCTCTCTGTTGCTTCTCCCGCGCCTGGGCCCTAAATTCTTCGATAAACGCTTTGTATCCTTCGCTGTCTTTATCGCCGTGTATCGCTTTATCGAAGCCCGTGCCTCCCATCATCTCCCAATAATACGTCCCGGCGTGTAAGGAATAAGGCGTGGAATCATCCTTGGGTTCCTGGAACACATACCGAAACTTGTCGGGCGCTTGCAACGCGTTCAAGCATCCTCGCCAAATCTCCTCGTTCGGGCCGAAAATCCAAAAGACGTCGTTCAGACGTTCAAACACGTTCAGAAACTCGAACATTTTACTATCGCTCACTTTTTTAGCATTGAACAACTTTCGAGCTTCGAGGCACAAACGTTCAACCTTCCTTTGAAACCGAAACCATCCTGAGTCGGACATCATCTCGATGTCACCGAATCCATCCGGCATTTTACCCTCATCGGCGATGGGACTCAGAATAGCTTCGCACAGTTCCAGTTCGAACATCGTCCGCTCATCTTCTGATTCAAACGGCGCGCTCAACTCAGTGAGCACTTTGATCGCATCGAAAGCACTATCGAACGTGAGGGTAAAGTGCGTCTTAAAAGCGGACCCGTATAGCCACATCTGCGCTTTTTTCTTGTTTGGAAACCACTCCGCCGCCGCCTTCGCTCGCAATCCCTCGACGTACTCGTCCAAACGCTGCTTTCGCGCGTCCCGCGTCTCGTCCGGGCGCGGCAAGCCGCGATACAGCTCGTCGTTCGTCGCGTATTCGTTTTTCGACGCCAGCGACCACATCGCGGGCGTCATGACTTTGCGATTCATCCCTCCCTCGCGCGTTCCGTACAGCCGTGCGTAGGCGTCCGCGTGGTCGACGTCCCCGTGCGCCAAAGTGGTTACAGTCTCATCGTTCGTCTTTCGGCGCTTCGCCGAGCGCGCGCGCGCCGTCTTGCACGCCTTGGCCGTCTGCTCGACGTACCTCTTTCTCGCGCTCTGGACAAAGGCGCCGATGTAGGAGTCGCTGCGCCTCCAGAACGGCATCGCGCGCGTCGGTCTGTCGATGGCCAGCAATTTGAAAATTGATTAAAAATGAATTACACGCTAATACCCGTCATCGGACCACGACACCGCGTACGACGCGAACTCGCTCGTGTCGTCGGTGATCATTCTCGCCGCGCGCTCGTTACACCCAGGCACGCGCCCGAAGGTTTTGCTGTACCCGTAGACGCGAATGTCACCCGTCTCGCCGCGGTCGTCTCTGATTATTCTCCCGCCGCCGATCACGCGCACGGTCGCGATGCCCCGACACTCGCGCTCGAGCTCGCGCGCGACGTCGGCGTGATACTCGCACCCGGAGAGCGCGCGCAAGACCTCGCGGGTGACGTCTCCGGCGCGCAAGACGCACAAAACAAACTTGTTCTTGCCGGGGTGGACGACGACGCGAGGAACGACGTCGAGCGAGACGGCGGTGGTCGTCGGCGCGTCCGCGTCGGCGGTGGCGGTGAATCTTCGAACGAGCTCGCGCGCGTCATCGGTGAGGGCTTCGCCCGTGACGTCGTCGAATCGGTCCGTCATGTCGCGTCGCGGAGTGACGCGCGGCGGCGGTCAGACGTCCGTCACGAATCGTTCGGGTTCACCACACGGTTTCGCACTCATCCTCGCACCCGGGGTCGAACTTCCAAGCCGAGCGCACGGGTGGAAACACGATGGCGTACCGCTCGGCCGAGCGCGGCGTCGCCATCATCCCCGCCACGGCGTCGCGCCAGGCTCGATAGTGCTCCGTGTTCTTGTGGTCCGCCGCCGCGTCCGGGGTTTCGTAGACTTCGCTCAGAATGAACTTCGTCCCATCCTCGACGCTCCTGAACGCGTCAAATCGCAGATTTCCATCCTCCCGAACGCTCGCGCGCGCGTTCTTCGCGCACTCCAAAGCGAACGCGTCCTCGTCTCCCCGCGCCACGTCGCACCGGACGTGCGTCACGCTCTCCCCACCCACGTCCGACGCATCGCTCGCAGTCCACCTCCGCGCGTGCGTGTCGACCCACGACGCATCCGTGGGCTCCACCGCGACGTACCGCGTCCGTTCCACGCGCGCCGACGCCGCCGTCGTCGCCGCGTCCAACGCCTCTCTCCACGCCCCATCCCTCCCGCTCGACGCGTCCGCCCAAATCTCCGCGATGACGAGGGTGTTTTCATCCTCCAACGATCGCAAGACGTCGAACCGCACGCACCCGGGGAGCTCGATCGCCGCCGCGCCCGCGTCGACCGCCGCCGCCGCGCCCGCGCGCGCGGACGACGCGTCCAGAGCGATTCGAGTCATCTCGATCCGCACCGCGCGCGCCGCCGTCCCGCGTCGCGCTCGCACCGCGCGCGTGCTCGACGCCGTCGCGCGCGCGATGGAGACGCGCGCGACGCGCATGGTACACGAAGGCTGCGCGGGGAAATGGCGACGATCCGCATACGTCGACGCCGCGTCGTCGCCCGTCGCGCGCGCGATGCCATCGTCGGACGCGCGGGCGAAGGACTTTTTGCGCGACGCGCTCGACGCCGTGCGCCTAAACCCGGCGTCGAGCGCGGTGAGCGCGGCGTTGGAGCGAACGTTGGATTTTACCGACCGATTGGTGGATGATGCCTCGAACGCCCTGGACGCGTTAGTTCGTCGACGCACGGGCGATGAAGACGACGGCGAGCGCGTGCGGGGAGGGTACGCGATGTGCGCGCGGGCGGTGGAGCTGGCGTTGGAGGAATACGATGTGCGACACGCGCATTTGGATGCCCGCGCGCGCATCGCGCTGCGGTTGAGCGAGACGCTGGAACGGACGATACGGGCGCAGGAACAGCGATGGGTCGCGCTGGACGCGGAGCTGGCGGAGGTTTCGGGAATGGTGACGAAAGTGTGGGAACAGAGTGCGTCCCTGGAGGGTACGTTCGCGCTGATGTCGGAGGTGGAGGAGATGTTACTCGAGGCGGAGATCGCGCTGGAGCTGGACGCGCTGTACAAGAGGCGGGACGACGCCGAGGCGAAGGACGCCGAAGCCGAGCGCGCGTTCGAGCAGGAGGTTGCGCACGTGATGCAGTTGCATGATTTGCTCCAGAGTGATGCGATGACGAACGCGGTGAGCTCGAGGACGACGGAGGAGATCATGGCGGAGCAGGAGCTGAAGAAGAAGCTCGCGAGCATGGCGAAGAAGCGCGCGAAGGAGTCCGGAGTCGACGAGTCCCTGAAGGACATCGCGTCGTCCATAGACGTCGCATCGACGATGTCGACGTCGATGCCGAACGATTTGGATGATTTCTTCACCGATGACCCGGATGAAAGCGAGGCGACGTCGAGCGCAAAGGCGTACACGCTCTACGGTTTGCGCGCGAGAGCCGAGATGACGAAGGGGACGATTATGAATCAACCGCACGAGTTGAAGATGGAAAAGTCGATAGACGTCGACGAGGCGGAGCGCATTGCGCTCGCTCGAAAGGAGGCGCTTGGGATCGCGGATGAAGACATGCGCGGGGTGAATCTTCGTCCACCGCCGCCGAAAGGAGGCGCGCAGGACGGACCTCTGGAGGACGCGCAGAGTCCGCGCCGCATCGTGATCGAATCCAAGAGCGTCACGGATCAAGTGAGCGATAAACTCAAGAACTTTAGCATTGGTGGGATATGGGAGAGCGCGTCGGCGAGCACCACGGCTGCAGTGGAGCGAGTCTCCGCCGCAACCGCCGCTGCGGCGGCGGCTAGTAGCGACGCTATGAAAGCGTTGCAAGAGCGAACGGCGACAATGAAAAAGACAGTGGAGAAAAGGTCGGTCGTCGAAGAGGCACCGAAAGGATACTACAAGAAGGACGCGGGAACGTCGACGTAGCGTCATATCGCGCTTGTGATTTCAGCTGTATTAAATCATTTACATGCGGCACGCGCTGGCACATCCAAAAAAATCCTTACGATCGCTCGGCGAGTTTGAGCTCCTCTTCTTCCGAGATCACGGGCAGGCGCGGGCCGAGCGCCTGCGGCCACTCGGAATCCGTCAAGTGTCGATTAATCGCGTTACGCAGACGTTCTTCCTTTGCGCCGGAATGCATGTGCAATCTCTTACCCGAACGAAATAGGAAGAACGAGGGCGTGGCCTTGACGCCGAGCTCGTCGCGAGCCAAAATTGTCGTCGAGCCGTTTTCATTGCCATGCATGAAAACAAACTTGACGCTGGGAAAATCCTCGGCAATTTGATGGAACTTTTTCGCAAACGCCTTGCACGGTCGGCAGAACGTGAATCCGACCTCGAGACATATGAGGCGATCACCCTCGTCCTTGAGCACGTTGTGCCACTCGGCCTGGGAAACGATGGTGGTGACGGTTTCTACCTTCACCTGGCTCTTCCACCAGCGCATCCACTCGTCGAACGAAACGACCCCGTTTTCGTCGTAATCTAGCGAATCCATCAACTTGCGAGCGTCGTGCACCTGGACGTTCAACGCCTCAGTCGCGGCGATGAGCTCATCGAGCTCTAAGACGCCATTTTGCGACGTGTCAAACTTGTCGAAGACACTCCTCAACTGCTCGTCGGTGAGCGATTGCGGAGACACTCCGTTGGCGACTCCGATCGCCTCGCGAACACGAGATAATGTCCCTCGAGTCGCGATCTGTTGCGACGCCAAGAGCGCCGCGCCCTTGACACCGGCGACGAACCCAAGCGTGCCTGGAACAACCTTGGTTTGGCACGTTAACGCAGGCAAAATTTTCTCCGCGTTTTGACCTGCTTTCCCGCCGAGGATGATCGCGTCGGGTTTGTACTTCTCCTCGAGCTCGATGAGATACGCATTAACGCGTTGAGCGAACGCTTTCCACCCCGTCTCGTTATCGGTCGCCCCGTTTTCTTCCGGAATAGTCGCCACGTCTCCGTCACCCCACGAATCGACGACTTTTTCACCAGAGAAATTTTTGACAATCTGACCGGCGTCGTACAGACTCGTGCTGAAACGCGCACCCACCATGCAAAACATCACCAATCCTTTCGTCGCCACTTCCCCCAGCTCGACCCCGGCGCCATACGCCAACTCTGCCGCTCCGCACGCCTCGGCTCCTGATGAAATTGCCACCTCGCATCCGGTCGCCGTGCGCGTCGCCGCCTCCAGCTCCGCCCGCACGATCGTCCCTCGCTTCGCGTCCGCACTTTCGCCTTCTATCCGAGTCACCAATCCCGGGAGCGATATTCCCACCGCTCCCCGCCATTCGAGCGTGTCCACCACCTTTCGCACCGCCTCGACGACGCCGCTCGCCGAAGCGCTCTCCAGCTTCGTCGATGCCCCCGCCCGGAGAAACGCCCCCGTGCGCGCGTTCACCGCCGCCGCGCGCACATCCACGGCGCCCGCGGTGACGTACACGCCCAGGATCTCCTCCGCGGCGTCGTCCGCGGTCGCGCGTGGGCGAAGAAAGAATTCGTTTCGATGACTTGTCGGTCGCGCGGCACCTCTACAACTCGCGCGCGTGCGCCTTTGGATCGACAGACGCGTCGACAGCCTCGACGGGAGCGACGACGGCGTCGATGCCATCGCGTTCGGACGCGCGTTCGGCGCGCGATCGACGCGCGACGAGGAGTGCGGGGCGGTCAAAGAATTATGAAAAAGTTACAGGGTGGAGGCGACGGCGACGGCGACGGCTCACTCGAGCCCGTTCCACTCCTTGTGAAACCGCTCGACGAAATCGACCATGGTTTGATGCCTGCGCTCCGCTAGACGCCTGCCGCTTTCGGTTTTCATCATGGATTTGAGCTTGAAGAGCTTCTCGTGGAAGTGATTGATCACCGTGTTCGGTCGCGTCGCGTCGTTTCGCATGGCGGCGTATCGCTCGCCGGTTAAATCCGTCAACGGCGGCACCGAAGGATCGTGCATCGGAGAGTTCCTCGCGCCACCGAAACAAAACGTCCGACCGATCCCTATAGCGCCGATCGCATCCAATCGATCCGCGTCCTGCACCACCATGAACTCTTTCGTCCTTCGCGTCCGCTCCGCCTGTTCATTCGCGTCGTCGGATATTTCAGATTTAAATCCAACGTATCGCACGATATCGCACACCCGCTCGATCGTTCGCGCGTCCACGGCGAGTGATTCCAAATGTTCCCGCGCCGCGTCGCATCCCGCGGTCGCCTCTCCCGAGTACTTCCAATCGCGCACGTCGTGCAGCAGCGCCGCGAGCTCGACCACGGTCGCATCGCAATCCCCTTCCTCGCGCGCCAAGCGCATCGCCAGCGCGCGCACGCGGGCGATGTGAAAGTAATCGTGCGAGCCATCCACGTCGGCGAGCTCGCGCTCGACGTACGCCTCGGTCGCGCGCACGACGTCCGACGCCATGCCGCGTCGCGATGTGATGTCTCTCGAGCACTAACTCATGGGGGTATGGTCCCTTGAATACGAGCGTGGCCCCGACCGCGCGTCGGCCCATCGCGCGTCGCGCGCGATCGCCCGTCGCGCGCGCGCGTCGTCGACGATGCCGCGC